CTCTCTCTTTCTTTCTCTCTCTCAGGGTTTTGATGCCATCAACCAGAGTAAGGTGGTGGAGCTGCTGAAGGACGGCGGAGCTGGAGGGGGCGACAGACGACACAGCAGGGAAGGAATCAATGGGCAGGGAGGACAGCGGGGGGAGACTGAGGGCGACGACTCCGCTGAGTGGAACGGGGTCAGTTCATTTAACTACTACTTCAACACTAAAGACTGTTTTAATATGTTCCTTATGTAAAAGCTAGCACAGCCTTGCAGACAAGGCAATTCAATTAATATTATTAATGTAATTATTTGACATTAAAAATTTTTTCAAAAGTAAATTCCCTTCAATAGGGCACCTTAGTTCGGAGTTCTGATTAAACCAAAAACATAAGAAGGGATCCCTGTCTTTTTAGCCTGACAAACCTTAACAGGAAATCTCTTTAATGTTTAATGTCTCCAGTAAATGCTGACTTGTTTTTATGTTTTTGTTTTCTTTCCTCAGGATGGTAACGGGTCTCTGCGTCGCAGCGGCTCCTTCGGGAAGATTCGCGACGCCCTGAGAAGGAGCAGCGAGATGCTGGTGAAGAAGCTGCAGGGGAGCGGACCACAAGAACCCCGCAACCCAGGGTAAGATTAGAATTTCAGCAAAACTTTCTTATCACAGGGTCAACCTACCTGGACCTTCTCCATCCGCTAAGGCTTGTGGATGTGACTGAAAAGCTCTGGAAGAACAAAGTTGACATTTTTGCGTCTTTAAAGTGACTGAAAAATGTATTTCTGATCCAATCTACTGATTTTTAATGCTTTAGTCTCACTGTTTGGTTGTATTGTTTTGCTCAGAATGAAGAGAGCGAGCTCCCTCAACTTCCTCAACAAGAGCACTGAGGAGACCACACAGGTACGAGGTTTGGTTCACGTATTCATGACACCTGCTACAGCACGTGATTTAACTAGGCCCGTGCCGTCTGAATGAAATAAAATCTTTACTATTGCAGTATTGTACATTTCTGAGATCCAGTTAATACCCCACAAATCCAGTTATGTCATCTCACAGCTTTAACATTAACTGCTCTGTTTTTTTTAGGACGCCAACACCGGATTCTCAGACTGCAGGGGACTAAGCGCCAGCAACGTGGACCTATCCAGACGCAGCTCCCTGATTGGCTAGAGAGGGACAGGAGGCGGGACTCAGGAGACACAGAGCGGCCCGACGAGGAGAGGCTGTTTGCAGCTTGGTTTGATCAAACAAACACACCTAAAGCTCAAAGCGAGATCAAACACTTGCACCTGCAGCATTATTTTTTAAAGAACACTGAGAAAAAAAAGCATTAAATGTCACTAAACGTCATCCTGTAAGACACAGTCGCTGCTGCTGCTTCGCTGTACAATCTGCTGCCTGCGATCAGAAAAAGAGAATATTTAGATACACATTAATCAGCATGCTGCTTACTAGAAAGTGGAATGTCTGCACCTGAACACCTCGTGTTTTTGACTCATAGCACCGTAGCAAAGCATCGTATCGACATCGTGGTCTCTTCGATCTACACTCTCACGTGCAGACACTCAACCTTAGGTAGGCCAAACCTACTCCGGTTTCAGTTCAGAGAGAAGCATTGCACTCTGTATATTTCACCAGTAGCATGTTTGCTGATGCTAACCACACATCGAATGCATCACAGACGGTAAAAATGGTACAGTCCGCTTAGATTTTTATCAGAGAAAGGAGAACAGAGAGTACAGGCTCTTCGATCTTTGGGGATATTCAAAAAACATTAGCACTAACCATTTAAACCTCACTTTTTGCCTTCTTGTTTTTTTTTTTTTTTATGTATATACAGTTTTAAATTATTTGATATTCATTCTTTGTATATAGTGAATATTGATTTTTTTTTTTTTTGTTTAATTTTGTTTTTCTTTTTGTTTACACTTTATTGGTTTAAAGAGGGTCTCAGTTGGAGAAAATACGACTTTTGTGAAGGGGTGACGACTGGAGAAGAAGGAAAGATGAAAGGAAATATTGAAATGGGCACTTAGGTAAAATGCTGATAAATTTAGTACCTCAATCACTGACGTCCGCTGACATTCACGATACGCCACAAGGTTTCAGTCTAAACTGTAATAATGCACTTTTGAGCGTGACAGTACTGTACTGGTAGTTTCCACTGCGTCCTCAGCTCGTCAGGCTTGCAGCAAAAAATTTTTTTTTCAAATGAATTTTCTTGGTGCCTCATAGGTCACTCTTAAAAAAAAAAAAGAAGCTAGAAAGTTCATTTGAAAGTAAATCTCAATAATTTCTCTTAAACCCTCCTAAATACCACCCACAGTATGTGGTATAACAAGTTTAAACACTATAAACATTACTTTCAGGTAACTTTACCATGAAAAATGATTGAAGTCTGACAGATGTTGAAGGAAACTGCTGTGAAAGACATATTTAAATACAAATTGTTTACAATCATGAAACCAGGATATTCAAGGCATAATCAACCCTCATTCTAAAATATGGGTAACTACTTTAATTATTGGTTCGAAGCTGGTGCAGTGCATCAGCTACAGTATGTTTACTTTTATGAATTCCTCTTGTGAATTGTTTTTCCCTCATTTGCTGTTGCTGAATATTTATCATGTTGTACAAAACAATCCTCAGTTGTATATATTTAATGCTGACCTGGATGGAACTCATCAGTCGTAATCAAAATACCGGCAGAAATCTGACTGTTGACCATCCGTCCTCAATGGATTTTGTTGTGCTGATGCGTTTTTCCTGTTTTGGCTCCGAGCTTTTATGTTGAAGGTACTGAAAACTGATTATTTGAATGTTACATTTCATGTTGATTGTGCGGTCCGGTGACATTTACGCTGGATTTTTGTGCTCTGCTGTTTGCAAGCGGGCGCTAAACTCCACCAAAATAAGACCAAAACCAAGGGAACTGTCCACAGAATGTACAAGTCTTATTATGTGAAGTGGAAGTCAGGCTCAGCAGGTTGTGGCATCACTTCCTCAACTGGGATCAGATTTTCAGTGAATTGCTTTTTTTTTTTTTGGCTTTCTTTTGTAAGTTTTCCTTTCTAATATAGGAAAGCCAAAAAAGGTTAATTCTTGACAACCTGAGTTTGATTTCAAAAAATGTGAAGATGCAGGTTTTGTTGTGAAGGCACTTAGTCAACGATGGTGCGTGCACACCATCGCCATGTGCCGTGGATAACCCGCAGTCGCCTTTCTTGAAATCACCTTTTGACGAGGTCATGTTGCTGAGTCTGAAAAAAGTGCTAATTATTCTATCGGCTTCTGATTGTGCTGTGTGAGGTGGTGCAGGTTTTTGGATAGTAACGAAGAAATACATGCATGAGGGGACGAAAGCAAAGCAAGTGTGTTAAACAGGAAGGGGGTCGGTGTTAAAAAAGAAAAAACGAAGAGTGCTTCGGAAAGACGACGTGGGAAGAAAAGTGCTTTAAGTGTTGTTCGCAGCAAATAATGTACAGAATTATCAGTATACTACCTTTATATGTATGTTTACTGTATGTCACTTGTTCACACACACACACACAAAACAATGTTGGGAAATTCCTTTAATCACAAACTCAATCTCAACACCATGTAGTTGTGTACAAAAGTTAGAGATACACTGATTTGTAGTTGGAAGGTCTCCAAAAATAAAGTTATTTTCTGACTGTGGGTTCCTCTACACGCCGTACTGTAATACCAATATTAATCAATCATTTACTGTATTAATCAGGTACTTGTTCACCCCTGGGTTAGTTTTTCTGAAATTTCTCAAGCGTCTCAGGCTTCGGTATGAAACTCCATTAAAGTATAAATATTAACGCACTGTGTTGCTCAATAAAACGGCTGAGAGGAAAATAAAAACTGCTCCGGTTTTAAATGTTTGTCCTGAATCTCTGTTGCTGGAAGATTTCAATCCAAAGCTTGAAAGATAAATCAGATCTTTGTTTCTCTGACATCCAAATATTTACGGAAGTCGGTGCATTTACGTGGAGCCATTGGTGGTAAATGTTGTGGGTACGAGGGTCTTGTATATGTATAAGTTCAGCTTCTATATTGCTGATGATTTGATGGATCTTATTGTGAAGGGGCCAACCTAATGTGTATTTTATCAAAGGTTCAATAAATACAATTCCACTTTTCAAACTGATTCTGTGTCTCGTACGTTTTCATCCACATGCTGTCAGAAAATGTCAAGATGAGTTTTACCTGCTTCCTTTGAGATGGTTTTGACCATTTCAAAGTGTGTGTGTGTGTGTTTTCACAGCTAGGGCTCGAAGTGTTAACCGTACGCTGCACCATTGCAGCTTTCATAGAGGTAAGCCTCTGTATGTAACTTCCTGTTCTCAACGACAGCCCACAAGAAGGAAACCAGGCCCACCAGAGTTTATGTTGAGAATCGACAACACATTCACAGACTGATCAGCTGTCGCATCGCTGAGATACGATCCTGCGATTGAGGTGAAAGATAGGAGCTTGAATGAACCAGGATTAGCAAGTAAGGTTACTTTCATTGAGTGTCTTGAGATGTTGTTTCAGTGTTTTTATTTTGGTAATAGGAAATTCAAAAAGAGCTGTTGTGAGTCTGTATGTAGCTTAATGATATCCTCATCATAAACCTCTATATTTGTGTCCTTTAAAGTTTTCTCCACCAAACTCTGTATCTCTCACTGCAAACGTTTGTCTTTTTAGAAACCAGAAAGTATTAGTCACTTATAATGTGTCACTTTCTATTTAAAACTGGTGGTGCCATTAATAATACATAGTGCAGAAGTTGACAGTTTTAGATTATGACTTTGACACTTGATAAAATGTTCATCAGTCCCTATTGAAAACCACAAATTATGTTCTCAACCGCTAGTGTTTAAGTAAATGTATAACACAATGTACAGTAGCCTACCATCTGCTTACTTTTGTGCAGTTCTTTGTCTATTTTTTTAATCAAAAACTCAAACTACAGTCAAATCTGGACGGCATCGTTCTTTATATGTCTTTGTTCCTTTAATAATCCGCAAACTAATCCCACCTTGCCACAGGAGCTTTCTCCATGTCCGCAGTGGCTCCCTTCAGTCCCTCGCCGGCTCTGGTCCATTTCCAGCTCGGCCTGTTCAGGGAAATGGTTCAAGTCCCTGCTGGCAACCTGAGCTATCGCCATGCCAAGAGGCTGGCTGCGGACATCATAGAGCGCAAGGTAATCAAAACCTCCCACTGGTGGCCTCCTTTCACACTGAATTCTGAGGGTATTACACGGCAGATCAGGCAGGTTCATAAGCAGAGGATTGTTAAAGGGGCATTTCACCGAATTTACCCATGAAGCTCAGTTTACGTGTCATGAGGAGCAGTACTCAACCAGGCTTTGGTTTGATTTTTCACTGAATGTTTACATTGCAAACCGGAGGTGTGGCGTTTGATACAAGCGTGCGATTATTCGCATTATGGGTTCCAGTGCTTTTGGAGCCTGGCTGGTACTAGAAACAAAAAGTTGGTGCATTTCGGCCCCTGTTGCATCGGTTTTTAGTCCCCCATCTTTATGGAAGTGTGATACTAAAATTGCTAATCCTTTCAAAAAGCCAGAGCATTTAGATTAGCCCTTGTTCTATCTAACGTGGGTTCAAACTCACAGTTTTTAATAGTATCATTAAGAAATGGTTAAAACAGAAACTGTGTGCAGAATCTGGTTGGTTCAAGTCTCACACCTGCAGGTCAAATATGGTTTTGAAAAATGCAATGATGAATGATCGGGATTGTTCTCAACAAGCGGCTGCTCCAGTGGACAGTTGCAGCTGCTCCAAAGAGCCAAAGTGAGCACTAAGGTGCTAAAAAGCATTATTAGTAATAATTTTAAAAAATGGTAACTGTTCTAAAATTTGCTCTAACCCCTGACACAGTCCCACTTGGAAAATATTCAATTGACGTTCTGAGCTTCTTCAAACTATCAGGAAGTTGACTGAAAGGTCACCCTATGCATGAAGGAGGATTGTGTAGGTTGCCGTGTAAAGACTGGCTTTAAGAAACCACCGAGTGTGTCTGCATCGTTGACTGATTTGAACGATGTTGGTGGTTTTTGGCTGTAGTGTCTCCAGTTTACAAACGTGCCTCATTTCACCTGCGTTTTATACATTCAAACTAGGTTGGGAGCTTCAAACCCTCCACTTCAAGACCTCCTATGTATTTTAATAAACTTGAGGAAGAGAGTTGGGTAATAATAAAAAAAAAAAAAAAATCTCCTGTCAGAGTAAACTTTAAATCCACAGTTTGTATGTCAGTGGTGCACTGAAGCTGTAGCTGAGGTTAAGTGAAGATGAATTGCAGGTGTTGGTCTCAGAGTCAGCTGGTCTGGTCTTCGTGCTGCCTCAGTTAGAGAGACTGTGTGGTCGACAAGAGCACAGCAAACTTTCCAACCGCAGCCTCTCTCTCTCTCTTCCCCCCCC